ATTTGGCCTTCATGTATGTGCGTGACCACAGAGAACGGAAGGGAGAATCTGCTACCTTAGACAGAGTTACAGACAACTGTGAGCTCTTAATGTGAGAGTTGAAAAGCACCCTGTGTCTTCTGTAAGAGCAAGCAGTGCTCCTAATGCCTGAGCCTTTTTTACAATCACTAAACACACGCATGCATGTTTTAAAGTACTCATCATCCTTACTCATGCAATTAGATAGGAAAAAGAAGCTTCTTAGTGCCTCTCAGCTTGGTCCAGTCTGAAAGGCTAATCTTAAGAAAAGTTAGTGTGGAGCTAGGATTGAAGGCATTCTCATGCCTCCAGAGCAGAAGGATATGAATTTCATTGATCCTTTGCCAGACTGCTCTATCTAGTCAGTTGCAGGCTGGCTAGAGGCCCTGTCTCAAAAATACACTGAAAAAATAAAATGAGTGGTCACACATGCAGGCACCGGGATGGAAACGTTGTATCCTTATTCATTCCTGGCAGGAATGTCACTGATACAAAAGAGTGAATTCAATTGGGAGTATTCAGACCACAATGTTACCCACCACAGTTATACTGAGTTCTCACTAAAAGCTCCTAAATGTCTCTCACACAGAATATACACAGTTATTGCTCCATTATTCAGAAGTCAGAAAATAGAAACATTCCAGATTCCAATGAACAGATACAAGGGTAGCAAAATGACTATCATGAACTTGGTATTTAAATGAATAGCAATAAAAAAGACACTGAGTGAATGACTAATGAGAAAGAAAAAAAATTCCCCATGACTTCTTAGTTGAACAAATCCCTGTACCTGGAGATGGTTACCAGTTACCAAGGATGGAGTCAGCAAGGATGCAGCGCCGGAACAATGGAGAAAAGTGGGTAACATGGGGGACCTAGTGTACCACTGATTACACAGGCCTGTAATGGGCTGCAGCCGTGGGCTGGATCGGGCGTGCGGCTCGGGGAAGTTGCAAGTCTGGGAGTGTGTCCCTTTAGTCTAAATGAAGGCTGTGTCAAACCACTGAGTCCAAAGAAAACGGTTGGAGAGTGTAGACCGCTGGCGCAGGCATGGCCAGCTTGACTGAGTGAGAGTATAGCAGCTGATGGCTTTCTCGGGCCGGGCGGGGTGATTCCGCCCTGTCCTGCCGTTAGTGTTCTGGCTATGTGTGTGCCAAAATGAAAACGGAGTTCTTAATTGGTCTAAATAATAAAAAGCCAAAGTCAGATGTAGAGGAAAATGCTGAGAGATCAGAGAGAAGAAGGAGAGCAAGCAAAAGACACCTTTATTAACTTATTAGCTTCTCAGCACGAGAGCAACTTCCTGTTTCTTCCCACGTATATCCTCTCTCCACCCAGCCATCTCACTTCCTGTCTGTATGCAAAGACCTCCAGACCTATATGGTTAGCTCATGGCAAGATCCACCCTCTGATCTTCAGACACGCTTTATTTGTGCAAGCAAGATATGACCACATGGGCCTATTCACCCTGCCCCAGGCTGGAAATATCTCTTCTGTGGTAGAGTGAAGAGGTCAAGGTCCAGAGAGGGCCAGGAAATAAGTCTAAGACCCTCTTCTCTCTTGAAGGAGGCTACTGCAGTCCTCCGTCTTTTTTCTTGAATTTCAATGTCTTGGGCTAGGACTGAGACTCTCAGTGGTTTTCATGTGGAACAGTAGCGCAAAGGGTACAGACCCGGGGAGTCAAAGGGGTCTCTGAGGAACCCCAATAAACTATAATGGTGGTGCTGGGTAGACGGCTGTGGGGGAGGGCTCGTCTGGCACACGTGACTCCTGGGCTCCACCTGAACAGAGCAAAAAGGAAAACAAGCAAAGTACTAAGGAAACTCTTTCAAATGGAGACAGAATGTGTGTGCAACCTTGTATAAAATACTTTTGGATTTAAACATTATCACTTTGTTGCTTTTGTTTTCTTTAATTGTGATGGCCTCACTATATAACGCTGGCTGTCCAGGAACTCACTATGGAGAAGCTGGATCAAATTCACAGTGATCCACCTACCTCAATTCCTCAAGTGCATGTGCCACCATGTCCTGTTAAGATTTTAAAAAATCACTCTGAAATTTTGTTTTGTTTTTTCCTAGAGACAGGGTTTCTCTGTGTTGCTTCAAAGCCTGTCCTGGAACTTGCTCTGTAGACCAGGCTGGCTTGGAAATCACTGAGTGCTGGGATTAAAGGCGTGTGCCACCAACGTCCAGCTCATTCTTAAATGTGTGTAATGTTTGTGGCGGTGTGTGAATGTGAGTGCATCGCCCAAATGCCCGGTGACGGCACCAGATCAACGGGAGCTTCAGTTACAGGTAGTTATGAGCTGCTGGGTATGGATGCTGGGAACTGAACCTGGGTGGTCTGTAAGACAGTACTCACTGTACATCACTGAGCCCCGTCTCCAGGCCATGTGTACAATCCTCAGTTAAGAAACCAGACAGGGGTATGAGTATGTGTGAATGCACACCTATCTACACAGAACAAAAGATCTATTCCAATATTTGGGACTTGAGATGTGATTCCGTTGTTAGAATGGGTTGCCTAGCATGCTTCATGAAACCATGACTGTGATCTAGGGCATCTCATATGTCAAGGATTGTAGTTTAAAGTTGTAATCCCATCAATGGGGTATAAAGAGGAAGGTCAGAAGCTCAAGGCCAATCGAGGCTACATAGTGAGTTTGAGGCCAGCCTGGGATACATGAGAATTTGTCTCAAAGAGAAAGAATTAAGTGTCTCACAAGCACCATCACTGCACCCCTTGCTATCAGCACCCTGAAAGGTAACCAGTCCTACAAGTATTTTCCCAGTCTCAATGGTCCCCGAGGACTAACCCGGGCTGAGGCACTCCCTGTTCCTGACAGCCTGATATGGAAGGCTGCTGGCTGCCTATTTCACTGGTTGCCAGGCTTGTGTTTATTCCCGTTCTGTTACTATGCGATGCAGGAGAGTGACCAGCGGTCTTTTGTCTTTATGCATGACACCTGGTTAATCAACTTCGAACCCTTCCTTGACCATTCCAATACCTGCCAGCCTCAGCATGTGCATACGGCCCAAGTGAGAAGGGCCATGAGGAGCTCTGGTGACTTCAGGGGGTGTCCCTCAGTATATCGAGAGATAATGATATGAGAACCCCTAGTCTCTTGCATGCTGCTGATAGAGGCAGAATGTCTAGGATGGGAGATTGGGGGGGGGCAGTGGAAATAAGGGACTCCTGGTGAATTCATGTTGAGTTGTAGGAACGGCCTGGGGTAGAGTAGAGGATAGTTCCAAGAAACAATCCCTCAAGAAGTGGGCTGCGGTTTGGAAATTACTATGATACCGGCAGGCAAGACTAGCCCGACTTTCCTCATATCAGCCTGCCTTCCTTCTTTTAGGAAAGGCAAACCTGCTGAGGCAGAAACAGTGGGGATCATCACAGCCTTCTTCTTTCTAGGCCTGGCTCTGGGCGCTGTATGGTTGGTTGACTCTATGGGAAGAGAGGGCCTGAACTGCCTTCCTGCCTCCTCAATGAGCAGGGGTCCAGAGGTCTGCTTTCTAGCTGACTTCTGCATCTGTCTGGCTTTTGCTGGATTCCCACACCCAGGGTCTAGCAAGGAAGCCTCTGTAGATGAACTTGGGATTGAGGGGTCAGAATGGCAAGTGGGGACAGTCCCACTCCCAGCTCTCACTGAATCCTGCTTAAGCCACACACAAGAGGCTACTCGGATGAGAGGCATCGGTCCATCTGCCTACTCCAAGGCTGGGATGGAGGCTTCAGGCCTGACTGCTGTATCCTGTGATCCGATGATTTCACTCTCCCTCTCTCTCCTACGCCTATTCTCCGTGTCTCCATTCCCTGTCATTTTACTGGCTTTTTAATGCCAACATATGCCAGGTGGCTTCCTAGGTCCTCTAATCAAATAAACACTCCCCTCTCCAGAGTTCCCGTGTCTTCCCGTGGCCTAATCCTTTGGACAGGTAGAAGGCTGGCTCCCTGGGTCTAGGAATTGGGCATGGCCCTAGGGTGGACCTGGGTATAACGGGAGTGAAACCACACTAACCCACAGGAGCATGCAGCTCCGACAGCATAGCCCTTCTCCCTTGTCCCCTCTGCCTAAATTAAAACCATTAGATTACACTCCTGAAGCTAGCACCAAGATCTATTCCCTTGTCACTTCCTCCTCCCGAGGCTGACTGCTGAGGCCCAGCTATCTAGAATCTCCTTTGGGTTACCTAATTAGCATGTCCAATTCAAACACACCACCACATCCTAGCCCATCATAACACAGACCACCCGATTTAACTCTTAAAATTATACCTGCAAGGTGGTTTGCTGCTGTTTTTGTGCCTCGGTCAGAAAGCAGCCACTTTAATTTTTCTTCCCTGCTTATGAAGGGATTTCTTGGTGAAAACAGATGTTTGGGTGTGGTTAGTGCTACCCAAGGGTCCTGGAGGAAGCCCCCACTGTGTGTGTGTGTGGGGGGAATCTCCTTCAGGAAGAATGGAGTGAATGGAGCGATTTTTCTTGAGAGGGGCTGAAGTCATCCCCTTCTAGGACAACAGAGAAGGAACAGGCTTGGAGTAAAGACATCTAGACTGGCCAAGAACCGGAAAGACTAGTTTTTTCCTGCTCCTTTGTTGTTTTTTGTTGTTGTTGTTTATTTTAGATAAGATGTACCTGAAGATGACCTTGAGCTGTTCCTCCTGCCTTCATCACTTAAGGATGGTACTGCAGGTATCACCATGCCTAGATCCACGGATCGAATCCAGTGCTGTCTGCATGCTGGGCAAGCACTCCGCTAACTAAGCTGCATCCCAGTCCGTCTGTCTCATTTACAGCCCTGGAAAGGGAGGCAGCTCCGGGTCTCTCAGTCGTCCTCGCTGTTACATTCCCCTCCCCCACTGACACTGTCCTCAGCCTCCAGCTGAGGAACGAACTCCAGCACCATCCCTAGCTCCTGGGTGTACTCCCACATTCTAGGGCAGGAAAGGGCTGAGGCTGAGGTTCTCCCTTACCTTGGCACCAGGCCCTGACACGAGTGTTTGAAGAAATCGCAGTAGCGCAATTACAGCTACTTCCTCCACAGGCAGACAGTCAAAACCTTGCAGCTCACACGCAGGTTTCCGTTGCTCCCCGCCCCCTCCGCAACGTGCGACCCGGACGTCCAGACGTCACTGGGGCGGGCAGCTGCAGTTGGCCAGCTTGATGCCACTCCTTTTATTCGGGGCAGTCGGAGGGAGGGACCAGAGCTGTGACTCGCGGTCAACAAGGATGTGGTGTCCTGAGGCACGTGCGAGCGTTCCCTGCGGTCACTCCCCACGCAGTGTGTGTGTGTGTGTGTGTGTGTGTGTGTGTGTGTGTGTGTGTGTGTGTGTGTGTGTGTGTGTGTGTGTGTGTGTGTCGCTGGCACCCCGCTCCGTCCTGCTGGCAAAGTAAAGCCTTGTCAACCTGCCCCTGACTGCTCCTCCCCATGATCCTATCTTGTCCCAAAGACTCCCCTCAGCCAAGCGCCCTGTGAAGCGATGTGCCCGGAAAGCCTCCAGCTGTTTCTGACTACTAGATTAGCAGCTCCCAAGGCAGGATCAACGTGGTCTGTTCAGGTGGCTGCCGCCGCTGGGTGGAACAGTTTACACCCCAGACAGCCTTGTTTGCCCTCCCCTTCTAGCCTCAGCCGCTAGGCCGAGAGCATCTATCTGCTCACTGGCGGTCTGCTCCACACACGATTCAACATGTATGGACAATGCTGGCCCTGCCACCTGTCATGGACGCCTTTTCCCAAGGTCCTTGGTTTGGGGGAGGGATCCAGGGGTTAACAGGGACGTTTTCTGTCTGTTCTGTGCTCCCAGTGGAGGAGGAGGAGGAGATGTGGGGAAGGGGCCGGAACAGGAAGATTCACAGGTTCCTCCTCTGTCAAGAGACTGCGATGGAAGTGTCTGTCTCCACATCAGTGACTAGATACTGGGTGGTGGGAAGGTGTATTGTGTGGCACTTACTCCCCTGTGTGTCCCTCCCATGCCTGCTCTGCGGGGCAGCTTGAGCAAATATTTTACTTGTGTATAGGGCCCATGGGAATCTTCACAGTGAGCAGTCATGGTGGAGTTTTTACCTCATTGGCTCTTCGTCCTGATTTAATTCCTCCCTGATCACCTGTGTCCTGGGGGTGGCAATGCACGGCTGTTTCATCCACGTATGCCTTTGGGGAGCAGCACAGAGACATGGCTTCTGTTTCTCTTAAAGTTTGTTCTTTGACCAAACCATGAAAAAGGTCTAGCTAACAAATTACCCACCTATATGTGTACAGTTGTTGTGTGTATTTCTTAATCTAGTTAACTATAATTCTGGATATTTTACAAGATATATCAGCAGGTGTTGAGGTTATGCGCCCACCAGTTGAGCTCTGATGTACAGTTCAGAAAGTAGGACCTTCCGTTGACTAGAGAACCATCCTGTGAACATTTCCCGCTCTTGTTTCACTTCTCACTGTAGCTTCAAGGTCCTTTTTGAACTGGCAGTTCTCAGCTCCTAGGAGTTTAAAGCAATTTTACCTGTGCCTCTGAATAACCACTTAGTTGAAACAGGTGAACTCTTGGATTTTAAAATTTGCAGCCATCGTGGTCCACGGTACTTATTTAATCTTTCTAGTCTTAGATGCCAGAGAGGAAGAGGTGGGGGCCTTTTCCTTTAAGGCAGAAATGGTTTGATTTTTGTCCCTCATCATCAAAACTTGCTATTCAAAGAAGGAAATCTTCCTTTGGGAGTTGATCTCCAATACTTCAGATCTGAGTGATTCTGAGTGCTCTATTGTTAAAGCTTTATAGAAGTGGGAGAATTGAAGTGTTTCGAGGTGTTTACTGAAACTTATTGGGAATAATAATCTAACAGTTGCTCCCAAAACTATGCCACAATTGTAAAAGGGACTGTTTGGACAAATTGAATAATGTGACTGTGTATATGTGCATGCAGACCTTGGGGAAGATTCTTTATGTGAGTGTGGGAAACCCTCTTCAGTTGGACAGCAGTAAAGAGTTGAAAAGTGACACCATCCCCAGCCCTCGGGAATACAGGTGAGCCCTAATGGACACAGTCATTGACAGGACCAAGGCTAACCTCAAATAGAATTTGAACCATTTCTAATTTTGGCACAAATGTGTTGCTAGAGGCTATCCTGGTGTGTGCTCGTTCCCCCACACCGTTCTCAGTTCATGGCTGTTCTCGGCTAGTAAATTTGTAAGAAAAAAACCGTGTTTGACTGCTGTATATGGGGAGTTCTTAGAATGAGTGCATGTGGAAGTCAGAAGAGAACTTTGACAATTAGTTTCCTGAGATTGAAACCTTGATTGTTGTACTTGCTCAACAAGAAATTTTGCTGCATGATCAAACAAGGCCTGGGCTTTTAAGAGGCTTTTGAGCTACAGGTGACAAGTTATGGAACTGGCTAGGCCCTTGGACAGGCTTAGTGACATCTGTCTCAAAACTTCTGTCTTTATTTTCACATGAAGATAAACTGACAAGAGAGGAGTCATGTGTGACTATTCCTAATGAAACCCCACCACACACTTGACAGTGCTGAGGGTGCTTCTCATATGGATAAAATAGATTGGAGACCTCCGTGGGAGCCCATGCCTTTTTATGAGCTTCCTTGTGGGTACCCCAGCAGCAATGACTGTCTTTAAAGCATCTGTTCCTTTATTAAGTTTAGTGGATCTCTTGAATCCTATTCTTGGGCAGGAAAATGGCCTCCTATACAATAGCAGTTGTGTATTGGGTTTTATTTATTTGTGGGTTTTTTGTTTTTGTTGTTCTTTTTATTTTTGTTTCATGTGCATTGGTGTGAGGGTGTCATATCACTGGAGTTACAGACAAATGTTTTAGCTGCCATGTGGGTACTGGGAATTGAACCCAGGTCCTATGGAAGACCAGCCAGTGCTCTTAACAGAGCCATATCTCCAGCACCTCTTCCTTTGTTTTGTTTATTTTATCCTGAAAATGAAGCTATGCAAAATAGAGACGATGCCTTTTCATGCAGTCCTGCTCTCCTTGTAAAGTAACACTCAGGAGGCTGTGAGCTTTTCCTGGGTTGTATTGGAAGGTGATGAGAAAGACACTTGCCCTCTGTTTTGAACTCAGAATACTGCCCTTTGAGTCCCCTCCAGCCAGCCAAAATACATGTCACGGTTGCAGTTTATTCTAATAAGAACAAATGGTGACATTTCCAAGTACCAAAATTGTTCTGGGAACAAAGTGGTCCCAATGGGCCTGGGCAAGGCCCATTCTGGTACAGCACTATTTTCTCTACCCTTACAGAAGTAGCATTAGAGCTTGGAATTTTTTTTCCTGAGGTGAAGCAGTTTCTGGTAGTTTTGTGTAGTGAGTGTTAAGGGTATAAGCAAAGACTCGTGCAAGCAAGTCAAACTATCAGAAAGGGCAGGTGTTGGCTGTATATCTCAATTACCTCTGCAAATCAAACCGACAATAGTCACTTCCTTGCAGTAGCTCAGAAGATGCAGCTTAATGGGAATACGGGTGGAACTCTATGGCTAAAGGTTGCCTCCAGGGTTCCAGTGTTCTGTTGTGTTCTCTGATACTGAGAAAACACTTTGCCCTTGAGCCAGTATCTGGGAAACTATGGAAAACCAGAGTCATGAGAGCAGCAGTGAGGGCTGCAGCCCTGGAGCCCCTCTACCCTCCTAGGATGACTGTACCAGGGAAGTGCCCATTGGCCTCCTTGCCCATCTGCTGTTGGAGCCTCACCTGCCTTTATTAGGGGTTTTGAAAGGCTGGACAGAAAGCTTAACCATATCTTAGAGATGTCCCACTGTCTCTTATAACTTAAATTAACCGGTTTCCACTAATCTACAGTTTGCCTTATGGTTTTTACTTCTTCTATTCTGGATGTCCAAATCCCTCTTAGTCTACCTGATATCTCCTGCCTGCCCAAATTTTAACCCTCAGTTCCTCTCTACCCCTGGAAGTCCCACTATTCTCTCCTGCCTAGCTGTTGGTCATTTAACTCTTTATTAAACCAATCAGAAGGCACCTTAGGCACAGATACATCTTTATGGTGTACAAAAAAAATTATCGCATAATAGCCGACGCGATCTAATCTCAAGAATACTAAAATACAACTTCCTAGCACCACCTCAGATCTGAGAGGAAAGGAACTTCAACTTTCCACTTTCCCAGTCATGTTATCAAAACTCTCATGTTTCAGGGGTCAGGCTGCTGTGTGGCAGCCTCAAATACACACACTCTTCCAATGCGCATAATCATCCTTGCCAACTGTAAACTGTACCTCAGATGAGCTGCCTGGGGCCCATCATGGCCCCGATCTCTCCAAAGGGGTCACTCCTTTCTGTCTTCCCCATGGCTGCAGTTTTACTTCTATTATGTCCCATCTTCTTTGGAATGTCCTCCCTTTTTCCAACCCTGCTTGCCATAGAGATTTCATTTCCAATTTCATCCTTTGTCCTTTTCAAGTCTATGTTCAAAGGTTCCTGACTCTGAGGTCTCCCCTGACCGCCCTAGGAAAATGTCACCCCAACCTGCCCCATCATGTGCTCCTCGGTTTCCCACAGTCGAGGGGGGTTCAGTCTTTGCAGTGGTGGCCAACTGGGCAGCAGTGAAAAGATTCTGTCCAGCGTTGTACCATTGCACACCCTTTAAACGCACATACAGTTAGTTCACTTTGTATTCTTATTGTCTTCCTCACCCTTCCTTGGTTTTCCTCACAGATGTAAGCTTCCCTCCAAGGACACCGTGTGGGATGCAGAAGGCGAGTTCATGCAATTGTTACTAAGTGTAATATCTTTGGTTACTATATAGATTTCTACACATCAGACTTGCAGACACTGGGTAAATTCTGAAACAATTCATTTGCTCATTCATTTAGTAAGTATGCACAGAGTGCTCATGTACTTATACTGGGGGAATAGCAATGTATAGCGTAGAACACTCCCTTCCCTGGTATTTTGGCTCCTGTCTTTTCCCTTCATACCATGGAGCTAATCAAAACTTTCCAGTTCCTCAATGGGAGGTGAGATGGTTCTCTGCCTGGTACTGGCTGCTCTTGTAGCAGGCAACATGCACAAACCATTTTCTGGCAATGGGCTACATGCAACTCTGTGTCACAGTGTAGATCCTGTAGTATCC